ATATCAAGTTGGTTTTACTCCATAGTTATGGGATTGGGTCAATATATGTAAATCTACAAATATAATACATCACATAAATAAAATAAAATAAAGACCATACGATTCTCTCAATAGATGCAGAAAAAGCTTTTGAGAATATCCAGCATCCTTTCATGATCAGAACACTTAAGAAAACGGGCACAGAAGGGACATTCATTAAACTGATAGAGGCCACCTACAGAAAACCTACAGCCAGTATCATATGGAATAGAGTAAAATTGAAAACATTTTCACTCAGATCAGGAACTAGACAAGGATGCGCATTGTCTCTGCTGCTATTCAACATAGTAATGGAAGTCTTAGCCATAACAATCAGGTAAGAGAAAGTGATCAAGGGTATTGAAATAGGGTCAGAGGAGATCAAATATTCACTCTTCACAGATGAAGATGATATAATCTTATACCTGGAGAATCTCAAGGACTCAACTATAAAACTCTTAGAAGTGATCAAAGAATACAGCAACATATCAGGATACAAAATCAATACTTACAAATCAGTAGCTTTTATATAAACCAACAATGCAAGGACTATATTCCTTCTATAGTAGTGCCAAAGAAGATGAGAAATATCTGGGAATTTACCTAACAAAGGATGTGAAAAATCTCTATACAGAAAATTATGAAACTCTAAGAAAAGAAATAGCTGAAAATGTTAACAAATGGAAAAACATACTAAGCTCATGGCTGGAAAGAATCAACATTGTTAAAATGTCCATATTACCCAAAGCAAAATACAGATTTAATGCAATCCCCATTGAAGCACCATTGTCACACTTTAAACAGCTTTAAAAAATAGTGCTTCATTTTATATGGAATCAGAAAAAACCTCGAATAGCCAAGGCATTACTCAGAAATAAAAAACAAATCAGGAAGTATTAGATTACCAGACTTCAGACTATACTATAAATCTACAGTGGTCAAAACATCATGGTACTGGCACAATAACAGAGAGGTAGATTTATGGAACAGAATAGAGAATGAAGAGATGAACCCAGCTACTTATTGTCATCTGATCTTTGATATGCCTATCACAAACATTCAGTGGGGGAAAGACTTGCTATTTAACAAAGGGTGCTGGGTGAACTGGCTGGTGACCTGTAGAAGAGTGAAACTGGACCTCCACCTTTTGCCATTAACAAAAATTGATTCTCACTGGATAAAAGATTTAAACTTAAAATATTAAACTATAAAAATACTAGAAGAATGTGCAAGGAAAACACTTGAAGAAATTGGTGTGGGAGAATATTTTATGAGGAGGATCCCCTGGGCAATTGAAACAACACCAAAAGTACATTACCAGGATCTGATTAAATTAAAAAGATTTGCACAGCCAAGAGTGCAGTAAGTAAAGCAACCTTCAGAATGGGAAAAGATTTTTGCAGGCTATGCTTCCAAGAAAAGTCTGATAACTAGAATCCACAGAGAACTCAAACTAATCAATAAGAAAAGAAAAAATAAGCTCATTTCTATGTGGAGACTTGAACAGAAACTTCTCTGAGGAAGATAGGTGCATATCCTACAAACAAATGAAAAAATGCTCCTCATGTCTAGTCATCAGAGAAATGCAAATCAAAACCACTTTCAGATATCCTCTAACTCCAGTAAGATTAGCCCCCATAACAAAATCCCCAAGCTACAGATGTTGGCATGGATGCAGAGAGAAGGGAATGCTTCTACACTGCTGGTGGGAATGCAAGCTAATATGACCTTTTTGGAAAGAAGTTTAGAGAATACTCAAGTAACTAAAAAAATCATTATATAATCACCTACACATTCATATGAATGGTAAAATGTAAGTGTGGTCCAGAAAGTAGAAGGGAAGGGGAGAGGGGAGGGGAAGGGGGGGACAGAAAGAGGGAGGGTATTTGGGGGGACCTCACCTAATATACATGATGCAATGGTACATTTCAAAACTATTAAGTAAAGAGTATAATTGTGATGGGTGTATTAATCAGTTCAATGTAAGCATTTCACATTGTATATCAAATCAGTACACTGAACACCAGAAATGCATCAATGTACCACAGTTATGGTTTAATAAAAAAATTATCAAAAAATGATTAACAAAATGAAAAAACAAACCAAAGCTGGAGACATCACCATACCAGACTTTAGGCTGTATTGCAAGTCCACAGTGATCAAAACAGCATGCTAGAAGCCCAAGTGCCCATTGATCCATGAATGGATCAATAAATTGTGGTGTATGTATACTATGGAATACTATGCAGCCATAAAGAAAGATGAAGACTTTACCTCCTTCATGTTCACATGGATGGAGCTGGAAAATGTTCTTCTTAGCAAAGTTATTTCAAGAATGGAAGAAAAAGTATCCAATGTACTCAGCCCTATTATGAAATTAATTGGATGGGTGGAGGGAGGTGATTGGAGGGATCACTTCTATGGTTTATCTTACAAGGGTACACATGAATCTTTCTAAGAGTAGAATATAAACGTCTTAACACAATAACTAAGAAACTTATATGAAGGCTAAGTTATCCAGTTTGATGAAAATATTTCAAATTGTATATGAAAACACCACACTATACCCCATGATTGCATTAATGTACACAGTTATAATTTAATAATTAAAAAAAGCATGCTATTGGCACAAAAATAGAGACAGTGACATTTGGAACTGAATATAAAAACCAGGAAATGAAACTAATCTCCTATAGCCATCAGATCTTTGATAAGCCAAATAAGAGCATATACTGGGGAAAAGTATCCCTATTCAATGAATGGTACTGGGAGAATGAGATAACCACATGTAAAAAACCTAACAGGATGCACACCTTTCACCACTTACAAAAATTGGTTCAAGATGGATAAAAGATTTATATCTAAGGCATGAAATGATAAAAATTCTTGAAGAAGGTGTATGAAAAAGTCTTAAAAATGTTGGCTGGCAGAAAGATTTTTATGAAGACCTCTGTAGCAATTGCAACAACAACTAAAATCAACAAATGGGACTTAATTAAAGTGAAAAGCTTCTGCACAGCTAAGGACACAATGATCAAAGCAAATAGACAACTTTCAGAATGGGAAAATACATTTGCATATTGCAAATCTGACAAAGGCTTGATAACAGGATCTATAGAGAACTCAAATCAATCAACAGAAAAGGAGCTAACAATCCCATCTATCACTGGGCAAGAGATATGCACAGAATCTTCTCTGAGGAAGACAAACAAATGGCTAACAAACATATGAAAAAATGCTCATTGTCCCTAAATCATAAGAGAAATGCAAATCAAAAGCCCTCTGAGATACCACCTAACCCCAGTAAGATTAGCCCACATCACAAAGTCCCAAAGTTTCAAATTCTGGCATGGATGTGGAGAGTGAGGGATGCTTTTACACTGTTGTTGGGACTGCAAACGAAACAGCCTCTTTGGAAAGAAGTATGAAGAATCTTCAAAGAACACAAATTAGATCTCCCCTTTGACCCCACAATCTCACTACTAGGCATCTACACAAAAGAAAAGTATCATTTTATCATAAAGACATCTGCTCTGGATTCATTATTGCAGCTCAATTTACAATTGACAAAATATAGAAACAACCTAAATGCCCATCAACTCAGGAATGGATCAACAAACTGTGGTATATATATACCATAGAATATTATTCAGCTGTAAAAGACAGTGACTTCACACCTTTTGTATTAACTCAGATGGAGTGGAAACACGTTCTTCTCAGTAAAAGTATCATAAGAATGGAAAAGCAAATACCCAATGTACTCAATCCTAATCTGAAGCCAGTAGGCAATCTAATTCACATACATACAGGAGAAAAACTCATTTATATTCAACTTGTGGGGGTGGAGGAGGGAAAAGGGTTTGAGGGTGCTCCCACTGAATGGGCACAATGTAGACATGCATGGTACAACTGGTGTCTTGAACACAACTACAACAGGGACTCTACCTAACAAATTGAAATATTGTGACTTGATTGTTTGTATCCTCACATTAACCTGAAATAAAAAAAAATATGACCTAGCAAATGTAAGGATGCTATTAGTACATATTTGATACTCTAATGTTCAGAAACATTCTTTGGATTGCGATAAATTATTCTGCTCTTATAAAAGCAATTCAATTCTGTTTTTTAAATTAAATCATAGCTGTGTACATTAATACTATCATGGGGTACAGTGTGTTGTTTCTATATACAGTTTGAAACACTTTCATCCATCTGGTTAACATAGCCTTCATATCATTTTCTTAGTTATTATGTTAAGACATTTATATTCTACATTTAGAAAGACTCGCATGTACCCCCATAGGATAAACCATAGACATGATCCGACCAACTTCCTTCCCTCCACCCATACTCTCTCCTCTCCTCCCTCTCCCCTTTCCCTGTATTCTTGGGCTAAAATTGGGTATAGCTTTCCTGTGAAAGCTATAAACTAGTTTTAAAATAGGGTTGAATACATTGTATACTTTTTCTTTCATTCTTGAGATACTTTGCTAAGAAGAATATTCTCCAGCTCCATCCATATAAACATGAAGGAGGTAAAGTATCCCTATTTCTTTACGGCTGCATAATTCTGGTTTGATAAAAGGTACAAGCAGAGATATCCAGTTACCTATACTTCCCCTGTAATCCTTAATCCACCAGTCTGCTTATCTATTTTTTTCTTATCCATCATTTGTCTACTTCTCTCTCTTTCTCTCATTATTTTGAAGGTACTGATACATTAAAACACATTTAAATTTAAATAGAAGTCATATGAAAGAAAGGAACATGAATTTTGTATAATTGAATATTTAACTGCAAAATAACTTTGAATTTTGAAGAAAATGAGTATTATTTCAAAGATCTCATAGTTGACTCCTAATTAATATAAAAGAGGGAATCACTGAATTTTCTGTAGATTAACAGAAAACAATAAAATTTATGTTAGAAGAATATTATTAAGAAATCATTATGCTAAGAATAAGCAAAGGGAGACAGACCATATAATTTTTTCAGGAAAACTGAAGAGCCACAGCACCGCAGGGATCCCCTGACCATGATGGCTATGCGGTCACCAAGGATGTCAGCTTCATCCATAAGGTGGGTGGTTAGTAAAATAGTACGATCCTTTTTATATTGCTGAAGGAGATCCCAGGTGACTCTCCTTGAGGCTGGGTCCATGCCGGACGTTGGCTCATCAAGTATTACTACCTAAAGACCAGAAGAATAATTCTATGAACATGGTTAAATACTATGTCCTGGTGCTCCTCTTGTCTTACCAGTTTTCACTTGTTCAACTAAGCTAAAATAAGTTTAGAAAAAAAGTCAATTAGAAATGCTGTAATAATTCTGAACTAGTGGCCATGTTATATCAACAAGGTTGATAATGTGAATCCCATTTGATTTTCATTTAGGAGTTTCCTTTAGACTGTTACATCCATAGAGACTCTCAAATTTGTGTTAGCTGATTCTTTTCAATGAGCTGCAATGTACAGGGAAATCCATATATACTTTTTCCCCCTTCCTTCCTTCCTTCCTTCCTTCCTTCCTTCCTTCCTTCCTTCCTTCCTTCCTTCCTTCCCTTCATTTCTTGATTTTACCTTGGAGCCTCCTATAAGTGCTATAATGACGGACAGTTTGCGCTTCATTCCTCCACTCAGTGACTTAGATAATGCATTATGTTTTTCTAGCAGTTTAAAAGCGGACAGCATGTTGTTGATTTCCATAGGAATTGCCTTTTGATGTATTCCTTTTATCTGGAAAGAGGAGACAGAGTTCACATATTGTTTCTTATTTTAGTCCTAGAAATATTTTATAGCAGCTCTTTTTTTATATTACCAAATTTTCTTCTTTATTTTTCCATTTTTGGGTAAAGGAGATGGGAAAAAGGTTGGAAACCCTGAACCAAAATGAAAATTTGTTTTGTAAGGATAACAAAGAAATTCTATTAGATTGCTTCTACCTTAACATTGGTGTGTAATAGCCCTTTTTGTACCTCCTCCATGTAGGAACTTATTCCCTTTGCATCTCGTTATGTTTAAAGACAAATTCATGAAAATAAAAACGTGATCTTCAAAAGAACAAGGATATCTATAGCAATCTACTTGAAGTACATGAATAAAGTGGAAAAGAAAACATCTTTGGCTCACCACACCATAGAAATAAAGGTGTTCTGATACTGTCATGTAATTAAACAACAGGTCATGCTGGGGGCACAAACCCAAGGATTTTCTAATCTGGACCATCTGCCTCGAGATGTTATATCCATTAATATAGGCCTTTCCACTGGTGGGAGGGTAGAGACCTAAAATCAAGTAAAAGACAGAACAGAAACTTGACTTCTGAGAGAGAACATGACAACAAATTGTTCAATAATTTGAAATTTACATATGGATTATGCATTACCATTAGCAGTATCTTACACAGATCACAATTCTATAAAATATGGATTTTTTTAAGGAACAAAATTAGAAATAATTTATATTTTTCTATTTAACTCTGTTTTAATTTTCAATGAGCATGAGTGAGTGCAAATTACTTGAGTAATAAAATACAAACTAGTGTTGTCTTAGCATATTCCAGCAGTGTCACTGGCAATTTGACATCTACAAATTATGTTACAAGCTTTGCACTGCCATAGGCTGTGGTAGAACATTTTAAAACCTGAATATCCAGATGATAAAACTGCTACGCTTGAAGAATTTAAATTCTGGTTGGAGGAGATACAAAATGACTTATAACAATTTAAAAATACTTAGAAATCATCTATCCATAGCTATGATAATTGGTTAAGTTTAATAGAGAAAATATCATTTAAAACCTGATAACTAATTATTCCTATTTTACACAAATATTACTAACAGTGTTCAGAGATGTATATGATTACAACAGTGATCATATGTCCCAAATTGCCTTTGTTGTCCTTCACTTCCATTTATTTTCACATATATTTTAGAGTTTTTATTTTTAATAAATTGTGCCAATTTTTATTGACTTAAAATGAGACTGTTTGACCATTGATGCCTGTGACTCCTCGTTGCTGTCATAGGCCTTTCTTTTATGATGTTAATGATTTAAATCTTCTCTTTTCTGTTGTCCAATCTAGCTAAAGCTTCACCAATTTTATTATTCATTCAAATAACTGATTAGGTTTCATTAATTTTCTCCAATGTTTTTAATATCTCTATTTCATCAATTTCTATTCTAATTTTTATTTATTTCCTTCTAATTGCCTTGGGTTTACATTTTTTAAAGTTTCTCACAGTAGGTTACATCGTTTGAAAATTTTCTTTTTATGTAGGCATTTCCAACTATAAATTTCCCTCTAATCACTGCTTGAGCTGTGTCTTTTAAGTTTTGATATGGTGTGTATTCATTTTCATTTATTTCAAAGTGTTTCTTAATTTCCTTTGTGATTTCTTTTTTATCCATTATTTAAGAGTTTGTTGTTCAATTTTCACAAATTTGTGAATTCCAAATTTCTTTGTTATTAATTTATAATTTTACTCTGTTATGATTTGATACTATATTTTGTGTGTTTAAATCTTTTAAATTAATTGAGGCTTGTTTATGGCCTACTGTATAGTCTATCCTGCAGAATATTCTGCGCATAGTTGAGTAAACATTTTGTTGTTATTGGGAGAAGTGGTCTATAAGTGTCTGTTAAGTCTCTTCATAGTGTAGTTTGTTTAAGTCTTCTATTTACTTGTTGATGTTCTGCTTATTGTTTCTAGTCCTTATTGAAAGCTGGATTATAATTGGAAATTAAATTCCAATTATAATTTTTGAATTTATCTATTTTAGGCATAAATTCTATCAATCTTCACAAATTTTAAAGCTCTGTTACTAGGTACATATGTTTATGATAAACATGTTTATATTAAACTGATAAGTTAGCCATTTTATTGTTATAACATATCCTTCCTTATCTTTAATAAGATTTTTCACTTTAAAGTCTATTTTAGTTGATATTTCTATACTCACTCAGCTTTCTTGCAGTTGTTTTCATGATATATCTTCTTCCATCATTTACTTTCAACCTGTTTGTATATACAGTGTGTCTTCTATAGACAGCACAGACTTTGGTCTTATCCAGCCTGATAATCTATGATTTTTGCACAGATTATTTAATCCATTTACAGGTAATATTATTAATGATGTAGTTGGGTTTATGTTGGACATTTTTTGTTTTTTTACCTCATGCCTTTCTTTGTCCCCTCATTTGTCCTTCATTGCTTTCTTTTTCATTAAGTGAATATTTTCTACTGTAACATTTTAATTCCTTTGCTAACTTTTTTCACTACATTTTTCTGAATCATTTCCTTAGTGTTTTCTTTAGGGTTTACCATGTACCAAAATCTTAACTTATCAGATTCTACATTTCAGATTTATACTAACATTTCAGTGAACTGTATAGTCGTTACTTTTATATGGCTCTATTCTCTCCATGCTACTATTGTTATATATATTCCATCTATATATATAACTAACCACATATATGTATAAAACAATATATTACTGACTCCCAAATATATTGTTATAATATTCTTAATTAATTTTATATTTATTAAGGAAGTTGAGAAATATAAGGAAAGTATATATTTATAGAGTTTATTTACTTTTTCATTTACCATTATTGGTTCTTTTCATTTGTTCATGAGGGACAAATCTATAAATGTAATTCACCACATAAAAAGAAGCAAAAACAAAGACCATGTTATCCTCTCATGGATGCAGAAAAAGAATTTGACAAAATTCAGCACCATTTTTTTGATAAGAACACTTGACAAAATTGGCACAGATGGGACATTTCTCAAAATAACAGAACCCATGCATGAGAAACCCACAGGCAAAATCACATTAAATGGAGAAAAAGTGAAAACATTTATGATTAGAACTGAAACCAGGTAAATATAACCACTATTTCCACTACTATTTAACATAATTCTGGAAGTCCTAGCTACAGCAATGAGCTAAGTGAAGGATATCAAGGATATCCAGATGGGGAAAGAAGAGATCCAAGCATTGCTTTTCACTGATGATATGAGTTGTATACATTGAAAATCCCACAGACTCAGTCAAGAGACACCTGAATTGATAAATAAATATAGCAATGTTTCAGGTTATAAAATCAGTTTACACAAGTCAGTAGCTTTCATATATGCCAACAACAGTCAAGCTGAGAATCAAATCAAAGGCACAATACCCTTCACTGTAGCATCGGAGAAAAGGAAATACCTTGAAAGATATTTAACAAAGGAAGTGAAAGATCTCTATTGATAGAACAATAAAATACTGACAAAAGACATCCCAGAGGACTTAAAACTGATGGAAGAATATACCATGCTCATGGATTGCCAGACTCAACATTGTTAAAATATCTGTACTACTCAAAGTAATATACAGATTTAATGCAATTTTCATTAAAATAGCAAAGTCATATTTTTTAGATCTTGAAAAAATAGTTTTATGCTTCATGTGGAATCAGTATAAACCCTGAATAGCCAATACAATCTTACATAATAAGAACAAATCTGGAGGCATCACTTCATGCTATTACAAGTCTGGAGTCACCAAAAGAGCATGGTATTGTCATAAAAATAGAGACATATATTTATGGATCAGAACAGAGAATCCACATAAGAAACCATCCTCGTATTACCTTTGATATTTGACAAAGCAAACAAAATCATACATTGGGGAAAATAATCCTTATTCAATAAATGGTGCTGGGAAAATTGGATAGCCACATGCACAAGATTGAAACAAGATCTTCACCTTTCACCATCTGTAAAAATTAAGTCAAGTTTTAAACCTAAGGCATGAAACTATAAGAATTCTAGAAGAAAGTGTTGTAAAAACTCTTGTAGATGTTGGTCTAGTGAAAGAATTTATGAAGAAGACCCCAATGGCAATCACAGCAATAACAAAAATAAATAAATGGCTTGGCACTCATAGCTCAGTGGTTAAGGCACCAGCCACATACGCTAGGGCTGTCAGCTTGGGCCTACTAAACAACACAACCTGGGCCTACTAAACAACAATGACGATGACAACAACAACATAGTTGGGCATTGTGGGGGCACCTATAGTCCCAGCTACTTGGGAGGCTGAAGCAAGAGAATTGCTTTAGCCCAAAAGTTTGAGGTTGCTGTGAGCTGTGATGCCACAGCACTCTACCAAGGGCTATATTGTGAGACTCTGTCTCAAATAAATAAATAAATATAATAAATGGAACCTGACCAAGTTAAAATATTTCCACACAGCCAAGGACACAATCAACAAAGTAAACAGATATACAAAGTGAAAGAAGATATTTTTCAGTTCCTTGAGATAATATGTGCTATATATATGATAAAGGACTGATAATGCGAATTTACAAAGAACGTAAGCAAACCAACAAGGAAAGATCAAACCCCATTAAAAATTGGGCAAGAGGCATGAAGACAAACTTTTCTAATGAAAATAGACTAATAGACAATGAACACATTAAAAAATACTCTAATCATAAGGGAAATGAAAATCAAAACCACACTGAAAGATCACCTAACCCCACTGAGAATCCTTCACATCACAAAATCACAATGCAACAGTTGCTGGTGTGGATGCAGAGAGAATGGAAATTTTTTTTATTTCATGTTCATTTTTGAAACAGAGAGGTGAGGCTCTTGGTTGACACTTTTTAAAAAAAATCATCATTGTCATTATTTTTTTGAGTTGGAGTTCTTGCTTTGTCACCCAGGCTGAAGTGCAGTGGCATGATCATAGCTCACTTCATCCTCAATTTCTTGGATTCAAATAATCCTTCTATTTCAGCCTCCCCAGTTGCTGGGACTAGAGGCATGGGGCTCCTTCCTTGGGTAAGTAAAACATTTTTTTTTTAAGAGACAGGGTTTCGCTATGTTGCCCAGACTGAAGTGATCCTCCTGCCTTAGCCTCTGAAGGTATTGGGATTACATGTGCAAGCTGCTGCATCTGGCCACTGAAAGTCTTTTCTTTCAGTACTTTATATATGTCAACCCATTGATACATGGCCTACATTGTGTCTGACAAGAAGTGGGCTCTTAGACTTATTGGGAATCCATTTTATGTGATGAGTCTTTTTTCTCTTGCTTTCAAGATTTTCTCTTCATTGTTCAGAATTTTTACTATAGTGAGTCTGGGTGTAGAGCTCCTTACATTTATCCTATTTGGAATTTGTTGAGAGCTTCTTGGCTGTGTAGATTAATGTTTTCAGTAAATTTGGAAAGTTTGCAATCATTATTTCTTAGAATATGCTTTATGCTTATTTCTTTTTTCCCTGTTTTTCTGGTACTTGTATTATATGTATATTGAGGCACTTAAAGATATCCCACATTGTTCTAATGTTGTCTTAATTTTACTTCATTCTTTTCCTCCCTATTATTAAGGTTGCTAAACTCTATCAATCCATCTTCAAGTTCACTGACTCCTTCTTCCAGTTTGTGCCTATTACTGAATTCCTTTAATGAATTTTCCCTGGGGTTATTGTACCTACTTTAGAATTTCCACTTGGTTCTTTTCTTGTGATAATCTATCTTTTTGTTAACATTTTCTATTTTATAAGATATTGTCTTCATACCTTTCTTTACTACTTAATCATGCATTCCTTTAGTTCTCAGAACATTTTTATAAAGGTTACTTTGAGGTCCTTTTAAAATATGCCTAATTTTTTTCCCAGTGTTTGGGCCACACTTTCTTATTTTGTTAATGTTTTGTAACTTTTGTTAAAACTGGTTATTTTATAATGTAGTTTAGCACTTCTTTATAGTAACTTTGAGTATCTATTCACCTTAATCTTCAATAGAAGCTTTTTTATTGTTATTTGCTCATTTACTTGTTTTGTAACTTGGGTAGACTATTTAGAGAGTTCTATTCCCCCTGCAGTGCAAAATCTTTGGTGTCACTGTTCAAAGGATGCCACTTTCTGCATATGCCCAGTCATGTTGGAATTAAGCAATTTTAGCATTGCTCTTTCTATTTCTTTCTCTTTCCTCTATTAAGCCTTCTGCCCTATGTGATATCCCACCCAGAAGTATGGTCCACTTGATATCGACTGATCACTCTGTAATTTTCAACAATTTCCCAGGGCATAAATTTCTCAGTAGCTTAATTCAGTTAAATTCATCAGGGATAGTTTCTAAAGCAAGTCTTTAAGGTTTGTTCTGGCTGAGGGGGGTTCCTCTCACTTGTATTTTTCTGTAGTTCTTCATTAACTAACAAGTCTATGATTTACCTTGCTCATCTCAATTAGTAGGAGATATTTCTTTAAAAGTGCCTTTAGTTTTGAACTTCCCCATGCTGTCTTTAAATAAATTCAATTCTTTTGGAGATATCTTTGGAGCTCTCATTTTTAGGGATTACTTCTTCTTCTGGACAAAATCTCTGAGTTTTTACTAGTATTTTTTCTTTTTGTCCTTCCTTCTGGCACTCTAAATTTGTGTGTATGCGGGGCAGATTAAATAGTCCTTTGGAATTAAGTTAGTATAAATCTGAAATGTAGATTCTGATGAATGAAAGTGTCTTAAGCTCCAAAGCAATTATTATGGAAATAACTCAAAATGCAGGTGGAAAAAAGTATTAAAGGAATTAAAATATTACATTAGAAAATACACACTTAATGAAAAAGAAAGAAATAAAAGAGAAATAAGGGAACAAAAAGAGACAAGAGAAATAGAAAATAAAAAGTTAAAATGTCAGACATAAACCCAACTATATTAATAATAATATTAAATGTGAATGGGTTAATCAATCCACACAAAAATCAGAGATTATCAGATTGAATAGAGAAAATGTGATCCAATTCTGTGCTGTCTACATGAGGCAAATAGGGAAATATACAAATAGGTTGAAAGTAAACATATGCAAAAACACATATCACGTATAAAAATTTTCTATTTCTTATATTTTCATCAATTTTACCATTTCTGGTTTTTTTTTTTTAACCCATATGAGTTTTGGCCTGGCATTATTTACTTTCTGCCTGAAAAACTTCAATTTCTGGGTTTGCTCCCCTTCCTCTGGGGATAGACCAATGTATAGTATAACATATTTTGGTGACTGTTCATGGGTGGGCGAAAAGAATATGTATTCTTTGTTGAGTAGAGTCTTCTGTAAATGTTACTAGGATTGCGGTGGTTAATGTTGAGTTCTTCAAGATCTTCATTGATTTTTTTTTTTTGAGACAGAGTCTTGCTTTGTAGCCCTCAGTAGAGTGATGTGGCATCACAGCTCACAGCAACCTCAAACTCTTGGGCTTAAGCAATTCTCTTGCCTCAGCCGCCCGCCCAAGTAGTTAGGATGACAGGTGCTCACCACAACACTTGGCTATTTGTAGAGATGAGGTCTTGCTCTGGCTCAGGATGGTCTCGAACCTGTGAGCTCAGGCAATCCATCCACTTTGGACTCCCAAGTGCTGGGAATACAGGCATGAGCCACTGTGCCCAGACCTCTTCATTGATTATTGTGTACTGGAGACATCAATTGCTGGGAGAGTGTTATCAAAGTATACAAATATAATTGCAAATGTCTTTTTTTTCAATTCTATGAATTTTTACTTTGAGTAATTTGATGCTATCCTTTGACTATTATTAAGAATTGTTATGTCTCTTTGTGGATTTTAAAATTATTATGCAATGTCCTTTTTTCTCCACCTCAAAAGGAATACTAATTTTAAATTTCATGTTAATTATTTGCAAAGTTAAAAATAAAGTGGATTATTAAACTGCATATCACTGAAATCAAATCACTAAACTGTAAGTACCAAGATGATATACAAAAGTCTGATTGATTTATCTAGAGTTTCCATGTGGGAATAATCTCTGAATAGAGTGAAATACCTACCTGAGAGAATGGATAGAGTAGTGGATTTTCCTGCCCCATTATGTCCTAGAAGAACAGTGATCTGTCCCTCATACAAATTCAAAGACAAGTCCTTTATAGCTACTTTGTTCTCATTGTTCACCCGAAAGACCTATAGGGAAAACCCCACAAATATTTCACAATCATGTTGCAAGAATAAGCATCTATATCAACTATCTGTAGAAGAAAAATAAAGTATCAATCTTGTTAGGAACACAATCAAGAAGAAAATGTTGAGCAGGAAAAAAAAGATATCTGAAGACATAACATGAGTTTTAGATTTTCACAGTATTCTTGCAATTCTTCACGGAGCATGGTCTCCAAATATCACACTGATGTATCACACACCTTCTGGGTGAAGAGCACACTTATAACTGTGACTTAAAATATACAAAGCAAACTATGTAACCAAAACATGTGTACTCTAGTTCTGAAATAAATAAATAAATAAATAAATGAATAAATAGATAGATAGATAGATAGAATTTCACTATAGATATAAAACACTCCCTGGGAAAACTCATTCATTTCTGCTATTTTTCAATTATCATCTTGAAGCTTAAAAATGCACAATCTTCTTCAGTCAATGTCTTTGTACTAATCTAGATAACTTCCAATTGAAAATTTACACATGGAAAACAATTTTAAGTTTCTTATGTGTAGACTAACATTGCTTCTAATTAAGATGTAAAAAGCTGGAAAGAGTTCATTCCAACTCTAGCAACCAGTAGAAGCTGAATAATCTACAAAATTGTGATTTTCTCGAGCCCATCAGATATGTAAGGTTTGCAGACAATCAACTGGCCTGAAATTTATGAAAAGAGAGATGCCTTTAAGGAGAGATGATATATGAATATTTACTTGCCTGGAGCAGACAGGGGTAGTATACAACCTAGTAAGAAGATTTTAGTTAAATTTTTAATAAAAATGAGGTGAAAACAGTTTAAGAAACATAACACTGAAGTGGAAGATTTTGGATTCGATCTCATACCATTCAAAATTAAGGAATATTTTACTTCCAATAAAAACTGATGGTGAATAATGGCAAATATCTATGTAACTGAAAAAAATTGTTATTTTTGTTTTCTTTTGTTGTTGTAGGGGATTCAGTGAGGGTACAAAGATCCAGGTTATACTAATTGTATTTGTCAGGCAAAGTCCTTCTTATAAATGTTCCCCCCCCCACAGTGCTAAATACTGTGACCCTCCACCCTGTTCTTCCTTCCCTCTCCTGTCATTGTTGTTATGTTTGAGGAATTTAACATTTCCTCTTTTATCTCTTCCTGAACCCAACCATCATTCAGCATAAGATTGTTAAATTTCCATGCCTTTGTGTGGAGATGAATGTTTTTGTTGGAGTTGAGTTCTACCTGTATAGCCTTGTGGTCTGAGAAGAGACAAGGTATAATTTCTTGTATTTTCTCTTTTTAAAGCTTTTTACCTGTCACTAGTTAAATTTCTGCAGAAGTACAATGCCTAAAAAATAATGCTTATTCAGCACTTTGAGTTGATGAGAGAAAGACTATAAAATAGACAAACAAACTTAATAATGGGAGTGAAACTGGGAATTGAGTGGAAGCTAGAAGAACCTTGGGGAGGATGTTGGTGAAAGCCTAAAGCACTTATAATAGACTGTTAGTAGAATATCAGTGGTCTTCGAGGTGTCTTCCATGGAAGGCTTAAAGAGAAGTGAGGAACTGTTATTGAAAACTGGATGAAAGAAGATCTGTGTTATACAATGGCCAAACATTTATCAACATCATAACCTGCAGTAATGTGGAAAATAGAAAATTTTCCTAATAAACTACTTGATTGAGTTAAACAAAGTGGATCTAAGGTTAGTGATGGGCTTTTTCTTGTTACCATAAAATAAAATGTAGTAAATGTTGAGACGAAAGAGTGAAGCTGAAGAAAGTATTATTAGATACAAACAAGCCAGATACTGGTTTTAAGAATTACTAGCTTCTCTACATGGCAGATAATGTTGAAAATAAGAAGTGGCTTGTAATCACAGATCAAATACAGGTCACTGTTAGAAAAATATGGTCTAAAATTGAAGGAAAAATCATGAGTAAAAGTCTTTTTTGTAAGACCTTTGAAACAACTTCAAAGAACTTTTTAGTCAAACAACAGAGACTCTAACAACTATGAACATTATTTCTTGAAGTCAGGATCCTCAGCAGAAGCCAAAATAAAGATTTTTCTCACGTATATTTGTGGTATGGCTTTGGTGGCTGAAATGAGCCAAATGTTTTATATAAATTTGTACTGGGAGAAGTGCCACAAGAGTATACTTAAAAATGACAGGCAGGACAGAATGAAAAGAAGCCTTTAGACAGTCAAACTTCTACAGGTAGAAAGCAATCTAAAAACAAAGAGAATGCAGCTGCAGACATGGGCTCTGTTTCATAGCAAAGGAAGGATTATTCAAAAGATAAAGCTAAAAAACCAGAAGGTGGAGCCAAGTAAGAGTCTTGGAGAATAATTCTCTGTTCTTCAGTCCTAATCAGGGAACTGTCAACATGACAACTGGTAGATTTCAGAATTTCTGTTGACTTCTGTGTACTTCTTGCTTTTCCTTTTTTGAATAGGAGTATGTGTCATGGTTAACCTGTGTCCATCCCACTACTTTGACTTAAATTTGTGGGGGAGAGCTTAAGATGGAAGATTTCATTGGTTTTGATTCACAGGTCTTCAGTTTTGGAGGAATTGCACTCTAAAAGGTATTTGCAAGAAATTACAGCATAGCAGTCTCATCTATACCTGGAGCTAATTTAGGGTTCAAGAAATACTACTTCCCAATAGGAAGAAGTGGGTCATTTCAAATGGAATTTGAGATTTTTAAATCCTAAAGTTTCTATTCTATATCTTAGTGCCATTCCTTCCCAATCAAGACCTCAATCCTCATCTTGGTGATTGTAAGTTGAAATACAATAAACAAATTTTATGCAAATGTCCTTATGACAAAATGATTTTTTTTCTTCTGAGTAGATACCTAGTAATGGGGTAGCAGGATCAAATGGGAGGTCTATTTTGAGTTCTTTGAGGATCCTCCATACTTCTTTTTAAAAAAAGTTTGTATCAGTTTGCAGTCCCACCAACAGTATAAAAAGTGTTCCCTTCCCTCCATATCTGCCCCAGCATCTGCAGCTTTGGGACTTTGTGAGATGGGCTATTCTCATTGGGGTTGGGTAGTCTCCCAGGGTGGTTTGGCTTTTCATTTCTCTGATGATTAGGGATGATGAGCAATATTTCTTATGTTTTTTAGCCATTTGTCTGTCTTCTTCAGAGAAAGTTCTGTTCATGTCTCTTGCCCAGTAATAGATGGTATTGTTGTCTCTTTTTTTTTTGTTGATTGAGTTCTATGTAGATTCTAGTTATCAACCCTTTGGCAGATTGGTAACATGCAAATATCTATTACCATTCTGTAGGTTATCTATTTGCTTTGGTTGTTGTCTCCTTAGCTGTGCAGAAGCTTTTCACTTTAATTAAGTCCTGTTTGTTTATTTTTGTTGTTGTTGTGATTGCCTCTTAAGTCTTCTTCATAAAATCTTTCCCCAGGCTGACATCTATGAGTTTTCCCCATGCTTTCTTCTATGGTTTTTATCATTTTGTGTCTGAGATTTAAATCCCTTATCCATCTTGAGTTAATTTTGTAAGAGGTAAAGGTGCCTAGATGTGAAAACAACCTAAATGACTATGAACACAGGAATGGATTAATGAATTGTGGTATATGTATACTATGAAATACTATTCAAACTTAAAAAGATGGAGACTTTACATCTTTTGTATTAACCTGGATGGATTTGAAACATATTCTTAGTAAGATGTCAGAAGAATGGAAAAGCAATTTATTAATCCATTCATGGGTCAATGGGCACTTGGGCTTCTTCCAAGACTTGGCAATTATGAATTGAGCTGCAATGAACAATCTGGTGCAAATATCTTTATTGCCAAGTGATTTTTGGTCTTTTGGATATACTCCTAGTAGATGAATTACAGGATCAAATGGCAGGTCTACATTTAGATCCCTGAGTGTTCTCCAAACTTCTTTCCAAAAGGAACGTACTAGCTTCCATTCCCATTAGCAGTGCAGAAGTGTTCTCTTTTCTCCACATCCACACCAACATCTGTAGTTTTGGGATTTTGTGATGTGGGATACTCTTACGGAGTTAGATGAGATCTCAAAGTGGTTTGGGTTTGCATTTCTCTGATGATTAAAGATTATGAGAGATGAATCACAGCTATAGCCCAGGGTGAAGGAGGGAAGGGGAGGGAGATGGGAAGGGAGGAGAGGGTTCGATAAGGGAGGGTTAATGGTGGGACTACAACAAGGTTATAGTCAAATCTACCAAGTATCAAACACAAATGTCTTAACGCTGTGATTAAGTAAATGAGGTGAAAGTTAGGTTAATTAGTAGGATTTAAGCACTCCAATTGGTACAAATAATTGACACATTGAATCCCACAAAGGTATAAATGTACTCATGATCTATGTATACATGACTTAATAATAAAAATAAAAGAATGAAAAAACAAGTATCCAATGTACTCAATATTAATATGAAGCTGGCAAATGAACTAATAGATGCTCACATGAGAGAAAAAATCAATTTAATTCAAGTTGGTGGGAGGGGGAGAAGGGAGAAGGGAGAGGAGAGAAGGAGAGGGATTGGTGTGCTCCCACTTAATGGGCACAATGTAAGGGCATTTGTTACATTTCCTGGGTGCAGGACACAACTATAACAGGGACTTTATCTAACAAATGCAAACATTGTAACCTAATTGTTTATACCTTCATATTAATCTGGAAAAAAAGGCCCCAATCCTGTCATAGAAAATCTGTGTAGATTAGGAATTTAACATTCTCTAGAACTCTTTTATTCTTATGACTAAATGTGGGCCTTAGTTCTCAGCTTTTTATGTTCTTGAGTGATCAAAATGAGTCTCTCTTTACATGCTTTTGGTGAGGCTCAGTAGATTTTATAGTTAACCTTTGATGGTCAATCATAATAGCCTTTCATTCTCTCCAGTGCATCATTTTCCCCCAACAACAGCTGTCTAATCTCATAATCTTTGTTTTATTTATTTATTTATTTTTGAGACAGAGTCTCACTATGTCACCCTTGGTATAGTGCCGTGGCATCACAGCTCACAGCAACCTCTAACTCTTGGGCTTAAGCGATTCTTTTGCCTCAACCTCCCAAGTAGCTGGGACTACAGGCACCACCAAAATGCCTGACTATTTTATTTTTTGTTGTAGTGGTCATTGTTGTTGGGGCAGGCCTGGGCTGGGTTTGAACTTGCCAGCCCAGGTGTATGTGGCCAGCACCCTAGCCTCTGAGCTATAGGCATTGAAGCACAGTGATCCTTATAATTACTAATTCATTTCTTTCAAATGCTTGATGAATGTCACCAAATAGTGTGTTTCTTTCCTCTGCTATAACAATCTGATTCACCACCAGTGAACATTGCATTACTGATTAAACCAGAGTCTAAGTATCATCTTCTGCTTTCTCTGCCAATTCTGGGTATCAGTAATCACTAATTAGGTTCTCTGGAAATAAACTGTAAGATGAAATCAGGCATTCAGGAAGCTTACATAAGATAAAAATTGGCATGCAGAAGTGCTTATGACTCTAATATTTGTGTGAAGGAGGGGAGGATGCAGATATGTGAGAGAGAATAGCTGGGCTATCCTACCTGCAGTAACAATAGGGTCAACCCCACAAAGAGTTTCATAGTTTGGAGACTATTTAGATGCAGGGGTATCCAACATTTTTTCTTTTCTGTAGCAAACTGGAAGCCTAAGAGTGTTTTGAGATGCATATTAAATATGCAAACACTAATGAAAACTGATTAGCAAAGAAGAGGTCCATGCATACCTTTCAGTTACTTGACACCACAGATAACCAAAAAATGTCTTCAGGCCATATTTACACTCCTAATTTTAGAGCTTTCCTGACTGGGGGAAAGCTAGGTCTTAATACTTCCACCTTGAATAGTCACTAAATCTAGGCTGTTCAGGGAAATAAGCCTAATTTGTGATGAAGGCATCTTTGTTCAGCTGAGGTTACTATTGGAGAGGGTGGCCAGAATTTATAATGGCCACGTTTTCAGAAAGACTTCATCAAACACTCTGTTTAATGCTTCTCCTCCCTATTCTACTCCCTAATTAATATATCATCATACTATTTATTTTCCTAATAGAATTTACTGTGTACTATAATTACATTGTTTAGTTGCTAACCACTTTTAGCATTACAATGTAAGTTCTTCAAAAGCATGGACCTTAACTCATTTTTTCACTGTTAATAAATCCCAATGCCAAAATTTAACGAATAAGCAAATAAATCAATGAATAGTACATAGAAGATCCTAGGTTCTTCTGAGCATTCTCGTGATCCTGGATATGCAAGTCTAGGGGATGTATGAGGAGTGGTAAAGGGCTCTGCACATTAGACGAAGCTCTCAGGGGTAATATGTTATGAAATGGACAAAGAAATGGCAAGATACAAGGGAAAGTAGAGTGGAGAGAAAAGTCATAGAGACAAAGATCATAGCCCATTTGTTCCTTGAACAAACACTATCTGCCTCAACCTATGTTATAGGTTACTAATATTCACAAAAATGTTTGATAGGAATGGACTTTCTAAGTATACCAGGGAAAAGACTGAGTTTTTCATCTGGGTTTATGTAACCAAAATAAAGTGAGCATATAGCATACTGGAGGCAGAGAAAACTATAAAGGTATAAGTATTGCCCAAATTAGCTGAAATTTTTAGGGAGATATTTGGATTTCTCCAAGCTATAGAGTTAGGAGCTCAAGTAAAGCTTTAATTAGACCTTGGAGGGACAAAGGAATGCAAGAAAACATATGAGCTTCTAAAGTACTACATGCCTGGAAATGATCCAGATAAATTTGAGATATAGAAGTGTTCCCCTTTATAAACACCTAAGCAGAGAAGATTACAAACAGACAAATAAATGAATGAATAGGACATGGAAGGTCCTAAGTTCTTTTTTTTTGAGCATTCTCAGAAGACATATTTGTTAACAGAATGTTAACATTCTTCTGAACATTCTCAGACAAAATATTTGTTAACAGAAATTAATGTTCACATGTTCAGATCATAAAGCTTCACTAGATTCTACTTTTCAAAATGAGAATATTTGTAGAAGATATCATGCAGGATGTCAACCTTTTATCTTTACCAGTGCATGTTGGAAGAATAAGAGTTGTCTTGGGCCTCACGATAAACACACAAACACTAAAGGGAAGCTGATAATCTAAAACAAACAAACAAACAAATAAAAGATCTGTGTATACTTTTCATGATATCCAACAGCACAGGTAAGCAAATAAAGTCTTTGCAAAATCAGCATGTCCCTATGGACTGCAGGTTCAATATTCTGAATCTGCTTCTATTCTGGAGAAAGGAGAAAGATATGACTTTTAATTATGTATTGTATAAATTTCATTTTCATCTTTTTCAAAGAAAGTAAACATAATGGCTATTATCCTATTAATAGCAGCTGATATTTATTTCAGTAATTTCAAAAACAAACATTTATAATGAATTATAAACTTAAGTTCCATCAGGGTAAAAAAAATACCTTGCACAAATTTTGGATCTGGATACCTGGTACCAAATCAGTAGGTTCAGCTTCAAAATAGTCATGTAAGACTGCATCATAAAACTGGTTTATTTCAGGTCTTTTCTCAGGTGGGTTCCCAAACCAGTAAGAGCGCTAGGCAGAAAATAAAAATGCAATCATTAGTGTGGTATTGAAAAAGAAAACATTAAAAATACTTCAGCTTGTAAGCTTTTGTATTGAGATGGATTGCATAAAATTTCTTGGGATTTAATTCTGGAGCTGGTTGGCTATAAATTCAATACTCAGGGTATAAATGAAGACTATTCTGTTAAAATTATAAATGTTCAAGAGAGACTAAAGAAAATCACCCAGAAATGTGGTCATACCAATCAGCATAGAATCACTATCAGATCTTTTCTGAGCAACACATAAGCCAAAGATAATAATGGAAAATACTGAGAAGACAGGGCAAGATTTACATGCTCCCAATTTTTCTATGGTTCTGACTCTAAGAAATCTAGGCTAACCAAGAGAATAAAGTAAGTGATATGTACTCAGACGTAACTAAATCTCATCTGGTAGCATCCAAAGACCCATCATATATGAATTTCTTTATGAATAAGTTCATTTATGAAATACTTTGTTATAAAGAGATGGATTACTCACAATTTGTAAAGTTTCAGGCCATTATTTGCTATTATTTATATTTACATATATATTGGAAGGCTTAGAATGTATTAGAAAAAGGCTAACAATTGGTGGGACCACAACTATGGTATATCTTACAAAGATACATGCAAAATGTACTAAATGTAGAATATAAATGTCTTAACACAATAACTAAGATGCCGTGAAGGCTATGTTAATGAGTTTGATGAAAATATTTCAAATTGTATATAAAACCAGCGCATTGTACCCCATGATTGCATTAATGTATACAGCTACATTAATATTTATTTTTTAATAATATTAAAAAGGGGTGGTGCCTGTGGCTCATAGGAGTAGGGCACCAGCCCCTTATGCCAGAGGTGGTGGGTTCAAACCCAGCCCTGGCCAAACAAACAGACAAACAAACAAACAAAAAAAAACAAAATAAAATAAAAGAAAAAGGCTAGCAAATTAGTATGCCTAGAATGTAAATAAGAATAGTTCTTTCACTTAATCTGTTGGTTCTATTATAGATGGTGCAAAATTAACACATAAGAACTTTTGTAGATATTACAAATTTCATAATGACTGTGACCTCTTATCCACAACATGAGCATTAGAACTCACCAGCAAGAAAAAGTTCCATGGTTTGGGCATACCATAGCTTCCTGGAAAGACAGCTTCTATATACCAGGTCACTAGGCCATATAAGAGAGCATCAAATAACAACATTCCCAGTACATAGACAAAAAAAAAGTCGTCCAGTTTAGTTGATGAGAAGATGTTACTCCATTTAAGTCCAATTTCTAGATATAGCAGAAGACATTTAAGTGGGTGCCAATTGTGACTAAAAAACAGTTATTCATTTACATAATAATTAAATAGTGAAGAAAATAATACATGGACATTGTTTAGGGATTCCTACTGGAGTCATCTACTTTCTTACACCTTGAGAACCTAGGTTGTCCCATAGAACATGTGAGTAAGTAATCACATAAAGTGCTCTCTGCTATAGCTCAAGCAAGCAAATGATTTGAAACGAATGAAACAAAAAGAAAATGTACAAAAAATTAGGGAAATGAGGCTTATAGTGACTCCTCTTTCTTTTCCCTTTCTTATGCTAAATGTTCATCTAAACATACAATTTTAGAAAAGCATAATCTTTGAAAAGTTAGGATGAATGCTTTTAATTGGACAGAAGAGTAGAAACATTTCTGCATAGATACCATACTAATGGAGAAAGGAAGTTACTAAAAGCAGACTGTGACTCTTCTTCCTCTATCACTAGAAAGATACCACATGTCAACTCCAAAAGGAGTGGGAAGAGGATCTACCAGATTTGCAATAAATTTCTGGAGAGGTAATGGAAGGATTCATATGTCATAGGTGATGATATAAAGTAGTATAATTTTTTTGAAGGTTTAGTTAGCAACATTTATCAATATTAAAACTGAGTATTCAATAAGATAGCACAGATATATCTACTAGAATATAGGAAAAAGTTACAAAGTAAATACTCACCCTGAATTTCTGCATCAACTAGAAGTGAAACTCCTAGGACCATTGCAAAATTTGAGCTAAGACAGGCAGCTAGCTTCTTGGTGAAGTTCATCTGTGCAGTGTGAAAGGTGAGGCCGATAGCGAGAAAGAAGGTGGCAAAAAAAATCAACTGTCCCAAAGCAACAGCAAAACTGACTACAAATAAGAAAAGAAAATAAGGTTATTGTAAGTAATCTTTAAAAACTTAAAGTACAGGGTGGCACCTGTGGCTCAAAGGAGTAGGGCCCTGGCCTCACATGCTGGAGGTGGCAGGTTCAAACCAGCCCTGGTCAAAAACTGCAACCCCCCCAAAAAAGAAAAAGCTTAAAGTACAAATATTTGTTTTATTATAAAATAAGCTCTACAAGAAATAAAAATTTGATTTATACACCATTATTTCCACCAACATATAATAAAATACTTAGAACATAGTGCTCAGTATTTTTTTTAATAAGCAAAAGGCTGAAATGAAACATTTAAGAAAACAATTTTTCTGGACTTTATCATCTGATGTGCAGGAACTATGAGTATTGCAAAATTTAATAAAAAATATATATTTACTTATTACTCAGTAGAAGAAATTGTAAATGTAAATGTTACTTCTGTAATAATTAGAAGAAAACCTATATATTTTTTCAAAACATTATGAGATTCAATTTCTGTCATGATACTGAGGGAAAAGAAGGATAGCTGATAAACAGAAAGACAAAATTGTTATCAAAAAGCCAGATGTGGGGGGAGGGGCGAGATGGCTGACGGGAGCCAGCCTCTGACAGAAGCTCCCATCCAGAGAGAAGGATAATGTCCAGAAATTACCCAATTAAGCTGAAGACTGGGAGCCAAGACAAGAGAGAAGAGTGATATCTGCAGGTCACCTCTGCCAAGACAAGCTGCAACTCCAAGAAAGCAATCTTTAGCTAAGACTTCACTGGAGTCACTGTTCCACTAGGATCAGACAAGAACCAGTTGAATACGAGACAGAGCCACCTAACCCCAACACACCAAGCAGGTTTCCTCAGCCTCAGACTTTAATACTGTACGGGTCCTTTGCAGAGCTATAGGGGAAAAGTGGCAGTCATTAGTCCCAGATCCTTGACAAAGGGCTGGTTAACCACAACTACAGGAATTCCCAATCCAATTTCACCTTATCTGTCTACCTAGCCAATGGTGAAAACAATCATGAGGTGGAATCAGCAGAAAAACTATGGCAACATGAATAATCAGAGTAGAGCAACTCCCCCAAGGAACGATATGGCAGATACAGCACAAGATCCCATTCATAAACAAATGACTAAGATGTCAGAAATCGAGTTCAGAATCTGGATGGCAAATAAAATCAACAGAATTGAGGTAAGGATGGAATTAGAATTTCAAGGAGTAATTCAAAAGATGTCTCAAGAATTCAATGAATTCAAATACAAAATCACCAAAGATTTTGAGACATTGAGGCAAGAACTTGCAGCCCTCAAAGATCTGTGAAATACAGTAAAATCTCTCAGTAACAGAACAGAGCAGGCAGAAGAAAGGACCTCTGACACTGAAGACAAAGCTTTTGAACACTCCAAAATGCTCAATGAGGAAAAAAAGTGTAGATCAAAAATGGATCATTCTCTCAGAGAGCTCTGGGATAATTCAAAGAGATCTAATATTCACCTTATAGGAATACCTAAAGGTGATGAAATTGCTGCAAAGGATACAGATGCAATAGAAATAATCAAAGAGAATTTTCATGAAAAATTCATGAAGTAATCATGAAATAATCAAAGAGAATTTTCCAGACATGCCAAGAGATACTGAATCCAGATAGAAGACTGTTTCAGAACCCCAGCATGGCTCAACTCAAATAAAAATTCTCATAGACACATCATTAGCTTCGCCAAAGTTAATATGAAGGAGAAAATTCTGCAAGCTGCAAGACGTAAGAAAACCATAAACTACAAGGGGAAGAACATTAGAATGATTGCAGATCTGTCTGCTGAAAACTTTCAAGCCAGAAGAGGGGGGTCATTGACCTTTAATCTCCTTAAACAAAATAACTTTCAACACAAGATCCTGTATCCAGCTAAACTGAGTTTCACCTATAATGGAAAAATTAAATACTTTAATGACATTCACATGTTGAAGAAATTTGCCATAACTAAATCAGCCCTCCAGGATATCCTCAGACCTATTCTCCATAATGAACAGCACAATCCTCCACCACCAAAGTAAACTCCCTCAGAAACTTTTCATCAAATTCCAACTTCCACAGTGGCAAAAGGATTAAAAACGTCCACTGGACTTTTGAAAAACTCGATACCCAAAATACTATCTGGATTACCAATACTCTCAATTAATGTGAATGGCTTAAATTGTCCTCTAAAGAGGCACAGGTTGGGGTAGCACCTGTGGATCAAAGGAGTAGGGTGCTAGCCCCATATGCCAGAGGTGGCGGGTTCTAGCCCAGCTCTGGCCAAAAACTGCAAAAAAAAAAAAAAAAGAAAGAAAGAAAGAAAGAAAAAGAAAAAGAAAAAGAAAAAGAAAAAGAAAAAAGAGGCACAGTTTGGCTGACTGGGTCCAAAAACTCAGGCCAGACATCTGCTGCATTCAAGAATCTCACTTTACCTTAAAAGAGAAATATAGACTCAGTGTGAAGGGATGGTCATCTATAATTCAGGCAAATGGAAATCAGAAAAAAGCAGGTATTGCAATATTATTCACGGATACAATAGGCTTTAAAACAACCAATGTATAGAAGAATAAGGATGGTAAGGGCAACACTCAAAATTATGAGATTTCAATTATCAACATTTATGCACCCAACCAGAATGCAGCTCAATTTATAAGAGAGACTCTAAGATACATGAGCAACTTGATTTCTTCCAGCACCATAATTGTTGGAGATTTTAACACTCCTTTGGCAGTGTTGGATAAATCCTCCAAAAAGAAGCTAAGCAAAGAAATTTTAGACTTAAACTTAACCATTCAACATTTGCATCTAACAGACATCTCCAGAACATTTCATCCTAACAAAACTGAATACACATTCTTCTCATCAGCCCATGGAACATACTCAAAATTGATCACATCTTATATTACAAGTCTAACCTCAGCAAATTTAAAAGAATAGAAATCATTCCTTGTATTTTCTCAGACCATCATGGAATAAAAGTTGAACTTAGTAACAACAGGAATCTGCATATGCACACAAAAACATAGAATAGACCATCATGGAATAAAAGTTGAACTTAGTAACAACAGGAATCTGCATATGCACACAAAAACATAGAAACTAAATAACTTCATGCTGAATGGTAGCTGGGTCATAGATGAGATTAAGAAGGAAATTATCAAATTTTTCGAACAAAATGATAACGAAGAGACGAACTATCAGAACCTCTGGGATACCACAAAGGCAATCCTAAGAGGGAAATTTATAGTTGCAAGTCTTCCTCAAGAGAATGGAAAGAGAGGAAGTCAACAACTTAATGAGACATCTCAAGCAACTGGAAAATGAAGAACATTCCAACCCCAAACTGAACAGAAGAAAAGAAATAACTAAAATTAGAGCAGAGCTAAATGAAATCGAAAACAAAAGAATCATACAACAGATCAACCAAAGAGTTGGTTTTTTGAAAAGGTCAATAAAATAGATAAACTTTTGACTAACTTAACCAGAAGTAGAAGAGTAAAATCCCTAATTTCATCAATCAGAAATGATAAAAGCCAAATAACAACAGACTCCTCAGAAATTCAACAAATCCTTAACGAATATTACTCTATTCTCAGAAGTATGAAAATCTGATGGAAATAGATCAATACTTGAAAACATGCCACCCTCCTAGACTTAGCAAGAAAGAAGTGGAAATGTTGAAAAAGCCTATAACAAGTTCTGAAATAGCATCAACTATAAGAAATCTCCCCCAAAAGAAAAGCCTGAGACCAGATGGCTTCACATCAGAATTCTACCAAACATTTAAAGACAAACTAGTACCGATATTATTTAACCTTTTCCAAAACAGAAAAAGAAGGGATACTTCCCAACATATTCTATGAAGTAAATATCACCCTAATCCCTGAATCAGGGGAAAAAAAAGAAGTAATACTTCCAAACACATTCTATGAAGTAAATATCACCCTGATCCCCAACAAAAAAGAAAATTATAGACCAATTTCTCTAATGACTATTGATGCAAAAATATTCAATAAGATCCTAGCAAACAGAATTCAATAACACATCAAACAAATTATACATCACGACCAAGTGGGTTTCATCCCAGGGTCTCAAGGATGGTTCAATATATGTTAATCCATAAATATAATACATCACATAAACAAATTAAAAAACAAAGACCATATGATTCTCTCAATTGATGCAGAAAAAGTTTTTGTGAATATCCAGTATCTATTCATGATCAGAATGCTTAAGAAAATAAGTATAGAAGGAACAGTTCTTAAACTCATAGAGGCCATCTACAGCAAACCCACAGTCAATATTATATTGAATGGAATAAAATTGAAATCATTTTCACTCAGGTAAGGAACCAGGCAAGGATGCCCACTGTCTCCACTGCTTTTTAACATTGTAATGGAAGTCTTAGCCACTGCAATCAGGCAAGAGAAGGCAATCAAGGGGATCCAAATAGGACCAGAGGAGATCATACTGTCACTATTCGCAGATGATATGATTATATATCTGGAAAACCCTAGGGAATGAACTACAAAACTCCTAGAATTGATCAAGGAATACAGAAGTGTCTCAGGCTACAAAATCAACACTCACAAATCTATAGCCTTTATATATACCAACAATAGTCAAGGGGAAAAAATCAATCAAGGAC